TCCGACATTTTCGGTGGGATTTAAATCTGGAGAGTTCCCAATCCACATTCCACCACTTTTTCACGAACCACTCTTTCAAACTCAACAGTTCTGAAACTTTTGAGACATTAATCGGATATTTCAATTCTGGGATTGCGATGTGTCGATTGGAAGACTTGAATTCTTGGAGCATGTCTGCGACTAGTTTCTGAACCATCCCAAAGGCAGCACGTGCGACACGAATCCGAGTTCTAGTGAGCACCACGATTCAAAAGTTGTCGCAAAAAATGAAATTCGGATAGTCAAACACCCACGAGTACGTTGAAATTACGTTTTCTTACGAGTTATAATATTCGCGGTCCTACAAAGTTCGTCTTTACTTCGGGGGGGGGGGGGATTTACTGATGATTCAAGTCTGAACTGATAGAATTTTTAGTTTAAGATATTAATTAGATCTTCCACCTTAATGATTAAAAAATAATAATAATTATTATGGTCAGTGGCAAGTTTACGGACTTACTTTAAATCCGGGATTCGATTCCGCGTGGTGTCCAGAGCACAGGTAGCTTATAGTGTAGCTATAAATCAACAAACAATCGTTAGTTTTAGAATCTTCGTGCAAACCTAAGAAAGAACTATCTGTGAATACCGTCTCTAGCTTTCAACTGACAGACTAGAGGGAAAAAAGTTGTCAACAGCCCCTCCCTCCACCCCCACAGGCATCTCTTGTCTAACCAAATATTAGGATTTCACAGTCACTTTTATAGCACACCCATAGATCCCAAGTACGATGAGTTTTGTTTTAAAGAAGCAACGGGACACGAACCTTGGTTCCTTGGATTCACAGTTCTAACACTAACAGCTATCTCAATCCCGGTCCATTTTTAAGAATTAAAAAATAAAATGTTCACATTCCATTCAGCCGATAACATAGCGGCCCATAGAATGGATCAGAGTCCTCCCCTCTCAAAGTACAAACTCTTAGCTAATAGCTTGACCGATTTAAGATCTAATTACAATTTTGGATTTAGGTCAAACCCTTTAGATTGATGTATTGACCACGCCCAAGGTCTCATAGGTTAACTTACTCTAATCCTGCCTAAAGGACTTTCAATTTGAGGGTAGGCTGGTACAAGTCCTGATGAGTAATAAAATTGAACCGCTTGGTATTATTAGCGCCCATAAAAGTCGCGTATAAAAAAAGAAGGAAGAAAAATAAAAAGAAGTGTCAGATTAATCTACTATAACCATACCCAAAAGAATTAAATGCCGCAGCTATTGTGGGTTCCCTATTTATTTATTTTTTTACATTTCTTACGTTTTACCACTTTTTATACATTTCTCAAAAGAAATGCATTGATTTTAGCGTATTGTTTAAGTACTATAACTTTGTGCTATTTTCGTTATTTATGCTATTTATGATGTATTATATAACATTAGGAATACCAACAATTTTTACCGAAGAGATAATTTTCTCATTTTAGTTATACCCCCCTCTCATACATACATACATACCCTCGGTAAAAACAAATATCTGCACAAAATCGAACCTAAAGAAACTGTTCCCTAAAAGTTCTTCAAACTGTTCAACAGAACGCTCGGACGTTTCAAATACATGTTGAATATGAACTACACCATTATTACAAACATACACCATTTAAGAATTAAAACGATTTTCTAAAGTCGTTAGTTATCAAGATTGTCGTTTGTTTGTCGTTAAATACACAATATGATATTTTCGCTATACCTACCACTGGTACATCGAGAGTTAATATTTCTCGATTTCATATCTTTATTATAATGATAATATATATCATTTTTATACCTTATATATAAAAGTTTTATATTACTTACCTTAGTCTGCCAACCGAGAGGTTTGGAACTACGAGAAGAAGTGGAAGTTGTTCAGGTCTTCACTTTATATCTTATTGAATTATAGGTGGCGCTTGACTCTCCGACGACATGCGTACAAGTAGAAGTTCAATTGATTAATTCAATATACTTCACTGAAGACTTAAATTAAATATATTAAAAAAAAATTAGTGGGCGGAGTTTATTGTTCTCACCATGAAAAGATGGAGTTTTTTTTGTTAATTCATTTTAATTTGTCGATTGAACTGTTCAAGGCGAGGGATGGTTTTAATATTGCAATGATGAATTCCGGTGTTCGATTCCCGCAGATATTCCATTGTGTAGATTTGTACTAAAACAATCACAACAACTGTTTAAAATATGAATAACCATGAAAATTGTGCGTAAGTGACTGAATTCGGCATTTCCAGTGGGTTTGATTTTGACTGTAAAGCATTTTGAATACATTTTTCTGAATTATTTATCCACCAAATAACTTATGGGTCGCCCCCCCCCCAGTGGCACAGCGGTATGTCTGAGGACTTAAAATCCTAGAAACCGGATTTCGATACCCGTGGTGGGCAGAGCACAGATAGCCCATTGTGTAGCTTTGTGTTTAACTAAAAACAAATAAAAAAACAAAAACATATGGGTCTATATATTTCTTGGGTACTTATCCAACAAATAACTTGTGGGTCTCCAATAACCCCACTTATTACAGCCGGGGAGAGGGGGTGATGACGTATTTTGTATAGAAAATGCGTGATTTTCACCCATTAGTTTCTCTCAGTTATTTACGGTGAGTACTGGAACGTAACATTTCTTAATATAATGTAATACGTGAATCTGACCGGTGGAGAACGGTGTGAAAACAGACCGGTGATTTTTTAGGGTGAAAATACAAATAGTGGCAAAAAATAATATAATTATACACTTCTTAGTTAGTGTCTGCCACAAAAATGGAAAAAAAAATACAGTGAATGAATGAGGGAAGAATCTGGGAAGAGAAAAGTATGGTAAAAGATAACCAGAGTTAGATGGTAACATGAGCTTGGAGTACCCTAAAGCGAAGTGTCGTGTACTTGTTTATTGTATTTTCCACACTTCCGTAAATGAAATTCTACAACTTTAGATAACACATACTAAAGCAGATAACATCAAAAGCCTCACTGTACGAGCTGACTGTCGTGCGTTTGGTCTGAGTAAATAACGAATCAGTTGGAATGGATTTTACTTGAAGAGATAACGTTCAGTACTCTAAATATTGGTTCGCTATGCACACACACACACACACACACACATGGGTGTGTCTTAAAAGAAAAAGGCTGTAAAACTCTAGTAAAAGCTACGTTTCGTTCAGATGTTTTGGGTTTGTTCTTTTGATACAACTCGTGTCTTATGTGTGGATGAAGGAAATAATGCAATTGGTCACTATAAAATACCATATTTATGTTTTTCTTTAACATATGTTCATTTCGAAGGCAAATGTTATTTTAAGAAGATTAACCGAATGTGCATGGGGTTGTTCCTTATACTATAACTCCAAATTTACTGCGTTTATCTACATTAAATGAGGCAAGCGTTTAGTAAGCTATACGAGTCTGTTGTACAGAACAAAAAAATGGCGGCAAACAAAAGTATTTGTTCTCTAGATATGTCTGTGAATTGATGATGTCAGTCTGACTCTGACAAGTCGGAGTGCAGGATGGTGTTCATGTGATGAATAAAAATGGTTTTGTCCATCGTACAGTTTGTGATCTTTAGAGCCTCCAAAATGTATATTTAAAGTGTTTTCGGTCTCCCTGTACACTGTATATGGTATTTACTCTCCTCTACCTCTAACTGTTGCTAAATCAGTGATGTAAAGAAAAATGAACATCACACATCAAATACACAATAACGTGTTGAATGGCTCCATGTAAAACGTCGTACATATAGGGTTAAAGCCGCGTCTTTAATGTTATTCTGTTCAACAGCATATCGCGGATCGAGCCTTAAACTTCTTTAGTTGCAGCCCAGCACATTAAAACAAAGACTACGTCCGGCCTAAATCAAAAGAAATGTGTTAGGATCTTATCAAAAACTACGGTTATTATATCATTGTGGTTTGTTTGTTTGTTTTGGAATTTCGCGCAAAGC